GCTGGTTGGCGGGCCAGCCGAAACTAGTCGGGTCCACGCCGCTGCTCTTATTGTTATATATTTTTCGAATAATGGCGCGTCCATTTTTTTTGTAATTGCGTAATATCATCATCTTCCTCTTTCTTCTATTCATTATCTATCTTTCTACCTTCTTTCTTCTTGTTTGCCTTCTCTTTTGCTTTCTGTCGGTCTGTTGGCCTTCGGCTGTGGTTGATGATTGGTTTGTCGTTTTGGAGTCAGTTCGTCGCTTGACGTCAACTACTTCTTTTCACGAAGTAACCGCCGTAGGGATCATACTACGAGTTAGTGTGGCTTCGACTGCTTTACGAGACGATCATCACCCTCACTCTAGATGGCTTCGAACGGGCTGAATTCCACTATTGTTCGTACATGCTATAACTGTTGGGACCCCAACCACTTTGCTAGGTAGTGTTCTCACTCTAAACCTGCGAACCCTCAGTCTGCTATCGTTCCCTCTCATGATCCATTTACTTACTCTCCCGTCTAATTCTCAGTCATCTGCTAGTAATACGACAGGACAGTTCCCTAGAGGGTATGTATGGAATCGGGCGAAGCAAAGACTTGATTACTTGGAGCATACGGTTGCTGAAATGAAGCTGCGACATGATGCCGAGGTGGAAAAGGAGACTAACAAGAAAGCTTAAGAAGACAAGGCGAAGAAAACAAAGAAGAGGAGGAAAGGCGTGCTGCTGAGAAGCAAGACCGTGAAGAGTTTCGGAAGCAGTTGACGGATTCTATGAACACTCGGCTCGATGGGGTTGTGAAGCTCTTGAGGGAAAAAGGCAGCACAAACGAAATCGAGACGTTACGCAAGGAGGTTGAAAGATTGAGTGGGAGGAATGCCCATGCGGAGGGGTCGACTGGTTCGGTACACGCGAAGAACCTTGACAACGATGGGCTGTTGGCCAGATTGCTTGCGGAACAAGACAGGATGAAAGTGCAACTTGATGAAGCTATTGCTGCCAAGAAACGCTTGGAAGCGGTGGAGAAGGAGATGTCGGAGGTCGTCCAGGTCAGGGACGAAGCACGGGCTGGCGCTGTGAAGTGGCAGGAGGAGGCTTTGAGACCGGGCAAAAGAGGATGTATTACACTATCAACGCCAGCCAAGACTGTTACGCGTCCCTCCGGATGCACTCCTCTGAAGTCCCCCGTGGCCTCTGTTGATCTGAAAAGGGTGGCCGACATGCATCGGCTCAAGGTCGAGACTATTCAGGAGATGAGGGTACGTGAGTTCAATGCCAGACGGGAAGCTGAGCAGGAACTAGAAAAGGCAAAGGAACGGATCGCTCAGATGGAGAAGAGATAACGTCAGGGTGGGAGAAGCTGCAGAAGACTCCTCGCTCGAACTTGCGAGTCAGGATGGAAGAAGCGGTTACTGGGAAAGGAAAAAAGAAGACGGTACAAGGAAAGGATAATGAGGGTCGTGCCGCATTCATCAAGGATGCTAGAAAGGATCTGCGTGGTTTGACCAAGGATGCTTTGACTGCTATTTGTGAAAAAAGGGAGTGAAATATGCTGGAGTTAAGCAAACTGTGGAGGACATCATTTCTCATCGTGTCAGCAAGGCCTTCCCATCGACCGGTGTTGCAGTTGAGATCTCTGAGGACCGGGTCGAGGCGGTCAACGATGAGGAGTCCGGGGGAGACTCTGCCCTTTCTTAGTGTCTCTCCCGGACGTGACGACGTTGTGGAATCTTTATCGGAACTGTTGTAAGTTCCGTAGTGCCTCCTCTTCCTTTTTACGGTGCCAGGATCTTAATTCTTTCCTTTAGATCGTTGTTATTGGTTTAATTCTTGGTGGTTGTGTTCCTTGGGCTAGTAAATTTGTGGGTCATATTTCGCGTTGCTGGCAGAAATCTAAAGGGAGTCTTGATGATGGTCCGTAAGTGTATTTGCTTGTCTCTCCCCTGTATCGACATGTCTATCTTGGGAGTACGGGACGGGATCTACCATCTAGATGGAGTACCGTGCAAAGAGTGTCAATCTCGTCAACTTAGGTAGTTGCAATGAAAGGCTTTACTGTTGGCTACGTCAAAGTGAGATTGAGAACTATGAGGTGATTCCGATCTGTCATTGTTTTAAGGAGGATCTACTTTCTATGGAGAAATTCTTTATTAGGGTCTTTTGTCCAGCTCTGAATTCGAAAGATCGCCCTCGGAGATATCGGAGGAACAGACCCCGAAAGAAGGAAAGACGTAAGAGGTATGGTAGGTCCACAATTCTCCCGGTATCTAAAGCACTGTCTACGTCTTCCTCTGGTTTACTAATTTTCTTATCGAGTATGGGGATTGTGTCGCACAGCCTGATTCGAGTTCTTGATTATTGTTGTACTGCTGGAATCGGGAGTGTGACTGTTGTATGTCGAGGTGGCTCGTCCCGGGTTGATTTATGGAAAATCCTGAAGTGCTGCTATGGATCCTCTGTTATTAGTTGTGTATTTGGAAGTGATCAGTTGAGATCATCCAAGGTTTGGTTTGTTGATGGATCGGTGATTTCTTTTCTCTCTATCATACCTTTCTGTGGAAAAAGTTTTGCCCTCAAAGCTCCGTTATCCTCTTTTCTCAGCAATCCATCTAATCGAAGGTCGTTGGTTACTTGGGATCTCCCCTCTCTTATTTCAGCCTTTTCTGCTATCCGGTGTTTCTCTGAGAAGCGCTCTCGTTCACGTCTGCGACTTATTCTTTCCAAATGTATTTCTTCTCGCTTTGGGTTGCCTGTTCACAAGCGTTTGGTTGTTCGAATCACATATGATGCTGTTTTTTGCAAAGCGAAGATTCGGAAGCTGTGTGCTAGCATTATTCGTAATCTCAATATTGACAAGTCTTGGAAGTCCCTCCTGGTTCGGCGGCAGAGAGTAGTCTGGCGTAGGAACCAAAGTATTGGGGATCTTATCCACAATTTTCGTAAATTCTCAAGGCTCTCCTCTTATCAGTGTGTCTGTTATTCTGTTGATACTTCCTTGGAACGGGTCGATGGACATATGAGTTTCCGAATTAGCACTGATGATTCTTTTCCTGATTGGATGAATAATTCCAAAAATATTCTGAGACCTTGTGCGGATAATCCTATTGCTGATCTAAGGAGACAAATCTGATCTTCTTTCCTTTCTTTCACGGAGCTGCACTCCGAGTCTGCACGGTCTTGTTTGCCTTCCTGCTCTCTGGAACGCTGTCTCACGATTGAACCTCCTCAAAGTGGTATATTCTGTTTTGTGGGGTCTTTGAATAGGCAGACGAGTAGGATTGATGGGTTGGTGTGCTATCCAATTGATCACAACCCAGGGGATACTTTTATTTGCTGCCCGGTGGTTTATGGTCAGGGTATGGGGAAGTTATTTACTGATAATTCGAGTTTTTGGCATGAGCTGCGTGAGGAGAAAGATGTTATTTTGGACTGTAAGAAGGAGTTTACGGATGAAGGTTTTGATAAGATAGGGAAGTGGAATGTCAAGGGTTCCTTCGGGAATGCCTATTGCTTGCCCAAACACAATGATATCCAGCGCTGGCGTTCAATTTGTCCTTCCTATCCTGAGGCTGCAAGCCTGCAGCGGTTAGTGGTAAGATAATTGCCCATGCAGTCAATGAGCTTCTTTGGAAACTTCCCAACTCCTTCCACTTAAATCTTTGTCGTACCTCGGACTTTATTTCTGGTATCAATTTCATCAATGAAGGAGTCAAAGGCAAAGATCGGTTGTTGGGGGCTTCGTTTAACGTTAAGGAAATGTTTCCAATCTACCTCATGAATCTATTCTGCAGGCGCTTCGGTGGGCGGCTGATTGCTGGATTACTGAGGGATACAAAGGTGTTATGGTAAAGAAGCATGGGAAAGCGGTCCGACTTACACGAGGGCGTTCTGAAGATGGATGGATTCTCTTAGATTTTTCTGTCATCTTTCGCTATGTTGTCTTTGATTTGAAGAACACGTTTATTCGTGCCTCTGGGATCCTGCTGAAGCAACTGTTTGGTATCCCTATGGGGAAGTCGACCTGTCCTGCTCTTGCCTGTCTGTTATGTGCTTATAACGAGTATTGCTTTTTCTCCTCCCTTGGTTCTGACCGCAAGCTAGTAGCCGGTTTTCGGGTCGTTGACGATGTATCTATCTTTGTTTGTTTCTCTTCTTCTTCTGATTCCTCCTATTCTCGGGCGCAGTTGTTGATTGAACGCTTTCGTGGCTGTTATGATGCACATCTGTCTTTGGAACAGACCAATGAGGGCAACGGGTGGGATTTTATCGGTTGTACCGTCAGAATTTTTAATAGTCCGTGTAGAATTGGTTGTGTGGCACTGCATAAAAACCAGCGGGTTATCTCGGATCAAGGGTTGGTGTTTCATAGCCTGCAGGACTACGCCTCCTTCTCCAGTCGGCAGCAAAAGATGGTTGTGGTTATCTTGTTTCTGCATCGGGCACGTACTTTTACCAACATTTTGGAAGTAGCCTTTTTGCTTACCTTGAAGTATGAGATGTGGTTGCGAGGATATCCTGATCACTACTTTAACTTCAACCTTTCTAATTTCTCGCGCAAATTTTCTGGGTGTTGGGATCATTGGCTGGGAATTTTGATGAGATGGGATCGCATGTTACCTGCAGCAAGTGCATGATTGCTCTGGGCTCGAATTAGAGTCCGAAGTGGTTCTTGTGGTTGATGGTTAACAATTTTGAGTTTAGTTCTGGGATAAAATGGGTTTGGTTGCTCCCTTTTGACTAAGTGAGTGTTGTATTGGATTTTGTGTTTTGGCTCGAATTAGGGCCTGATGATTTTGATTTTGAGTTTTCTTTCCTTAGGACCTCGTGTTGAGTAGCCCAGGGTTTTGGGTTATATGTAGGGGGACCAGCTCAGATGGGGCTCTGGTTGATCTCTGGTACGGGTTTTTTCTTTTTGGTCCCGACCCTTTTGTTGGTTAGTGGGTTTTGTTTTTGAGCTCAGCAGGTTTCGAACTGACGGCAGTTCTGCCTTTTGAATTTGATGAGCTCTTGGGGCTTTGGTGGGATTTGTTTTGGGCCCATCGGGTTTCGAACCGATGACGGCTCTGCTATTTCTTGATTCTGACGAGTTTCTGGATTTCGCTTGGTGGATGACTAGTGTTTGAATAGGACCGGTTTTGGTGGTT